AGGAGAGAGGTAAAAAAAAAAAAAAATTGCAAGTGATTCATATGCAATTTAAGTGATAAAATCAACAAGAAACAAATATATTATCTTAATTATTCTTTTTTTTTTAATTATCTTGTTTGATCTTCTATTTTGAGTGTGTTTATTTTTTATTTATTATCTTTTATTGCTTACTTTTTGATTTTTTGATTTTGTCTAAAGTATTTTATTTTTTGTCCTCTTGAGTGGTAGATCTTATGTGGTTTTATTATATGTTTTTTGCATATTAATTTTAGTTTGATTCAAAAACTTGAAAGATAACTTAGTAATAAAATGCAAGAGATCATTACATAAAAGCTTAATTTGAAACCAAAACACTAGAGGATTAAAATTTAACAGTGTAAATACGTGAATATAGCAGTGATATGTTTATTTTACTAACTTAATTTATTTTATAGCTATGTCAAAAAATAAATATATGGATGGAAAAAATACTCCTTCATCCCTAATATAGTAGCCATGAGTAGAGCTGTCAATATGGACTATATAGTCCACAACCCACCCCACGTAACTTACTTTTTTAAACCTTATACATAGTAGGTTTACTTATGTTGTAGAAACAGTTTTAGTTAAGTTAATGTAAACTATAGAAATAATGTTTTTAATTGAGCATATTCAATCATCAATTTGTTTTGACTTGCTACATGTATTTTGAAATATAAAGAAACATATAGTCTGATCTCTTTTATGAAAAATATTTTAAAGAAAAACAAATTCTTACAAAAGTTAAACCGATACAAAAGATATGTTATATAAAATAAACATTTTTAATGAATTATAATAATTTTTTAAAGAAAGTTGACTTATAGTTGACTTTAATCCACTTAACGTTGTGGGTTTTAAGCTCTATGGATTTTTCACATGATGAGATTTTTAGTCTTAGTCCATGTGGGTTATAACTAAATTAAATTAGTTAAGGTTGATTCATTTAACACCTCTAGCTATGTGTAACATTCTTAATTTATTGTCTATAATCACATAATAATTTATAACAAGACAAAGAAATTAAATAAATTTTGTTTAAAATATGTAATATAAGGACGTGGTAAAATTTAAAACCTTCCTATAAATAAATCCATTCACAAAATTTTAGAGATGTGATAGAATAATAAAAAGTAAATTGTTCTTTAGTAATTACATTTACATTGAAATGTTTGAGATATATATATATATATACACCAAACTCTATTTACATGCAAATGGTTAATATTTACAAATTGTTATCAAATTACATATAAGACTTAGAACATATAATTATAATATCAAAATAAACTAAGTCTTAAGAGTAGTTATTATCCACATTCAAGACTTTGAGGGTTCAGTACTAGTTTTCATCATCGTGCCAACTCTCTATCTTTACTAGTTTCTTTGGGTCAAATCTTCATTCTCTCCAAGATCTCTAAAGTCAACCTCAACACTCATTACTCGCTCAACAGATAATAATTAGGTCGGTATACCAATGAGATCATGACTAAAGAAGGTGTATAGATAATTCTCACTAAAAGTTATAAAAATTACCACTAAAAATTATTTTTGTTGAGACATATTGTTGAAAGTGATATACAACAATTGAAACTACTTAGTCTAAAAACCATTTTTGTGTGTAAATATTAAAACTTGAAACCACACCAATAATAATAATTCTTACTTAAATATCTCATACCAAAATCAAGTAGTAGACGAAGCAACCAATGTTACAATAGACAAAGAAGAGGTAAAAAAATGTAAGGAGTTGATTATAAAATTTGTATTACTCCTCTCATGGCATGATCCATCTTTCATTTGTCAATAAACAGCTACGAAGTACTTTATGAGGAATAATTCCATAAAATTCACTACTCCAATAATAGAAGAACTACCGGCCATCTTTCATATTATTAAATCAAGAGATTTACTCGTTTGTTCTCTTACTTCAACTAGATATTTGTATTTCAAACAATTGCACTTATTTATATAAATATATATATATAGAAAAAAAATTATATTAGTGTTAAGTTTAAAAACTATTATACTCAATTTTAATTTTTTATTTAACTTACATTTAACGAGTTATAATTTATTACTCACTGTTAAACTTGTATAATAACTTTGTTGTTCTTGAGGATAAGTACATAAAAATTAGAGGATGCAGTAATAAAGAAATATCCTACAAAACTATTGCGTATTTTAGCTAATTTTTCACGATATGTCAAACAAATAATATTCTAACTGTAGATTCTCGCTTCTTTGGAATTTATTTTCAATGCAATATGATATGAACATGAGATAAGAACAAATTGTTGAATTATTGATTGCTACACCTACCTATTGATATATTGTGAGTACAAGGAAAATTCGACAAAAATTATTGAAGTGCCAACTTCTGCAACTTAAAACATCGTTGACGGTTTTGTATCTGATCTTATCAAAGGATTTATGTTACTAAGGTGATCGAAACTTTATCAAATATTAGCCATCCAATTGTTTTCTTAATTAATATTTGGTGTGATTATAATTTGTACAAATTTGAAAATAGAATTATTATTTAATATCACATTACTTTGATATAAATTTATCCTTATAAGTCCTAATAAAAATAATATGGAAATTAATTTTTTTCCATGTAGTGACACAATTTTATTAATTTTTCCACGGGTTAAGAAAATATTTCATAGTTCTAAGTTCATCATTAATTATTTAGTTTTTGAACTACTACCGATAAATAGAAAAAATAATATTTCAACAAATATTTAAATTTTTTAATTTTAAAACTTATAGATAAAATATAAATAGAAAGATAAAAAGTGTTTACATTTACACACTCTTAGTTTTCTTCAAGTGAAACTAAAATTTTGAAATAATTTTTTTTAATTTGACATTGTTTTCACTATATATTACTGTTAACTTAAAGAATTTGTTATGAACCAATTCTTCAGCAAGGGTACCTAATTTTATTTATTTTGTTAATAAATTAATTTATATTTATATATATAAAATACCATAATATAAAAAATATAAAATATACACAACTAAATTTATAAATTACATTATTCGTTAATAAATTGTGGTATATATTTATTAATTAACATGATATAAAAAAAATATAAGATACACACAACTATGTTAATAAATTCATTTTTTATTCTTTAACTTTATTAGAATGGCCATTTTTTTTATTTTTTTTTGTCATTTGAGTAGCTTAATAGATATAACGATTTTCTAATATCCAAATTGATATCAAATTATATTTTAAATGCCAAATAAGTTTTTAATCAATTTATAATAAATTCATTATTAAAATGTAGAGTAACTTAAATAAAAAAATTATTTAATATTATTAATTGTACATTCTAAAGATTGGTAATATAATAAAAACATATCTCGATTTTTGTGGAGTCAAAAAGCATGAACTGTAGTTATATGTTGAAATTGATCGGCCAATGCACAACCATGTTCTCAATTTGTTCTAATATAGATGGGTTGGCTAGCACATTCAAGAATTGTATTATTTCTTTATAATTCAATCTCAAGCAATTAAGGCATTGTGCTCTGTACCTTGTCATTTTAACATGGTACTGTTGCGCCAACATCTTAACAAGAATTTGAAGCACAAAGATTCTTAAATTATCACTTAGGTTGTGATTTATTTTCTATATATTACTACTAAGTATATTTTGTTGGCAAACGTTCAAGAAAATCATATCATCGCCACCACTTAGTACTATAAAATATGTTTGACAATTTTTTCCTGTTAGAACAAACATGTACCATTTTAACTAATCATAATCTACATAAGATCATTAGTGCTAAATGAGTTGTCACATGAGAAATCATTTTAATTCTTTTGCTTCTTTTAGGCAAATAATTTTTTCTTTAATGAAAACCCTTTTGAAACTGAAATATAAGAGCATTATTGCTTCTTAAGTGAAAGGAAGAGAGTGTGGATAGCATTCTAGGATATTCTTCTCTATTTCAAATAAAGGTAGAGTTTTTTTACGTTGTTGTTAGTGAAAGAATTCACTATATTGAGTAAAATAGAGGAAGACTTTTGTGGTCTCCTTGTAAAAAGAAACAATACACCCTGCTTTGGGCTAAAAGGTAGATAAAGATTTGTTAAAGGCCTCATAAGCAAAAACTCACGCAAAGTGTAGAAAATTTTAAGTGATTGCTTGGGACAGACGTAATTCATGCATTTTGATTGAATCAATATGAATTAATTGTGCCCATTTCTTCTCTTTTATTACTATGCTATGTCTATATTATTATTATTTATTTGCTTTAATTAATGGTAGCTTATTCTTTCATGGAAACACTCGAGAAAGGCCACATCTTACCTTCAAACGTAAATATCTCCACACTTATCCTTTGCCCCTTTGAGTTAAGGCTTCAGAATGTCAAGAGAAAACTCTCATTGTTTGGAAATGAAAACACTAAGAAGTAGCCTTTTGCAACATGTGCCCCTTCCATGCTATCAGAACCTTGCAACATCACGATCTAAGGCAACCCTTTTCCGCTTCGTAATCGACCCCAAGCACGCATTCCAGCCAGATTCCTCGGCGAATTAGCGAATTTGGTAACAATGCAATGGTAAAACCATTGATTCAATTTCTGGAATTCTAATCGGATCGTAAACAAAAACCTCTGGAATGTAATTTCGGGAAAAAGAAAAAAAAAATAATAGGGTGCATTTGAAGACATCATTGCCTGAAGAATGTTGAGGGTCAAATTTAGGTACAAACATTGCGAGTGAAAATAGGTCAAAAAATTGGATAAGATTTTGCAAGACCTAAATTTGACCTAAATCTTGAAGTATTTTTTAAAGCCTAAGTTGGTCTTTTAAATGCATAGTCCAGCCTACAAACCTATTCAAAATCCTACTTCAAAATAATTTAACAAAGCAAAAAATTTATTCTAAATAGACTAACATTACATTTGTATGTAAATAAAATAAATAAGGCCCACACTAGTAGCATGACCTATTTCCACATCTACTAAACATGCATAAAATGGGATGAAGTTAAAACATGAAATCGATAATTCCAACAAGTTAAATATGATTCGAGAAGTAACACTACATAAGAAATGCTTCAATAACTCATTGTGTTCAAAAATAGCAAAACTACTGTGTTCATAACAGCCGTCATATAAAAACAATACCAGAAAATACACGATTAAACTTCATCATATCTCTATATCTGAAAGCAGCCTATACAGGGGCAGCTGCCTTAGTAGCGCTAGAAAGCTTGGATCTCCTCTTAGCCAAACTCTCACTGCGGCGCTCCCTCTGCTCCTTCAACCTGGAGGCAAGGAGTTTCTGGTACTCAGCTGCCTCTGATTTTGCCTTGGCAATTCTCTTCTTCTTATCAGAAATCCTTGCCCGCTTTCTTTGGAGGGTAAGAGGAGTGACCAGTCTTTGAATCTTAGGAGCTTTGCTCACCTTTTTCCCTGCAACCAAATAGCCAATGATATTCAGACTGTAACTCATCATAAAGAATGTCTCTGTCAGTCCAATTTTATCCAGGGGTCAGAAATAGACCGCAACCTAATTATGCCTAAAGCAACTCATCATTTCAAAGAGTTGTCCATCTATCCATCAAAATTACATCATAAATATGCACCATATGAGATTCAAATTCACGAGACTCTGGGATATTGTTTCTCAACAAGCACGCATCAGCTTAGTATCTCCTCGGAACGGGGAGATATTTTATATAGTTTTCAATAACAAAACTTATCCATGAAAATGTCAATACATCCCATATGTATTTTCCAGGGAATAAAGTCAAAACACCACAAGCATTATCCAAAGAGAGGGTTAGTTACATGAATCAAACAATGCATTAGGATCTATCAAAAACCACAATTTCAATAATCATAACAAAAAGGTCTTTTAACGTGTTAATAGCTGTCAATTTCAGATAGCGCAACATAGCAGACGACCCTCACAGAATAGGGTATAGCAGGATTACTGCTACTTTGAAGTTTTGTATATGGATATAAAATATATACAAATGCGGATAATTATGAATATATAATGCTAAAAATAATAGGCTTCAAATAGCATATGAATAATTATCAACAAAAGAAATAAAGCAGATCTTCCGGGAGAACATAACAGAGGTAGGACTGTGGAACCATAGAATAGAGAGAACAGAGAAGAAAGGAAGTGGATTTTGCCAGAGAAGTCATCCAAGATGAGTGACTCTGCTGGATTGGAGATTGTCACAAAGCAGAACAGAGTCAGAGACAGATGAAAGGAGGAGCCTTGAACATAAAAGAGAAGAAAAAAAAGTAGAGAATAAGTGGGGTTTCGACATATGTCTCCAATTGCAAAGCAGAACAGCAAAAGAGATGAGGGGAAGGGATGTCGTCAAAGAGAGAAAGGAAGAAGAAAAACACAGGGAAAAGTGAGGTTAAGTCTGAAAACTGAGAAGACTATTTTACCCTTAAAAAACCAAAAGATTGTGTCAACATACCGGCAAAATGAAAAAATCAACTTATTTTTAAAAGATTAAAAGTTTTTTTAACACTTAAAAACCCTAAAATTTCTTCATTTTGAGGGTAGAAAAGGAAAGTTGGTATATTTCCCTATGGAGGCACTATTGTGCAACAAAATGCCATGTTTTGGGCTGCGAACACAGCTGCAATGGTCGCAATGGCCACAACAGCAAAAATGCTCTTCTATGCCAGATCTGTGGTGCCCAACTCCACCACACATCACCGTTATTGCATGTTATTGATAACTACGAACGTAACTGATGTCAAGCAACAAATACACTATTTACGTAAGTCATTTTGCCATACAAATTAAGCAAAGTATCATAGGAATAAAATTGTACTACAACCGTCTTAGTCATGCCTGGACCAAATCTGTTCATAATACAGTTTTGAAGCAGAATTAAAAAAACAAAAGCAGCACTAGGAATTGTGTCACCATCAAAGATTTGTAAGAAATAATAGAGACTTATTAAAGGAGGTTGTGTTGACAACAGATTTATCAGAAAGGAACAGGTTAAAGTTCATCCTTTATTCACATTTTCTCCATCTTAGACGCTTTCTTTACTCCAAGTAGTCAATTACAAAATTAAACATAGAATGTAAAAGCAATGGTAATTTTACCAGATTTTGTTGTGAATGTTCGACGGTATGTGTTCACATACTTCCTAACATCATCTTCCTTAGACAGATTGAAGAGTTTACGGATTTTGGATGCTCTTTTTGGACCTCTCATCCTTGGCTTCTCAATGTCAGTCAACCCTGGTAAATCATTTTCACCTTTCTTCACAATTACCAAGTTCAGAACAGAGAGGTCTGGGCTGACAATGCACCCACGAACAGACTTCCTCCTTCGCTCTCCATTACGCCTTCCATATCCACGGAAACAAGGAGTTCCTATTCAAGTAGCCAATAAAAAGAATTAGCATCTGTTGATACAAGGTTGGAAACTCAATCATAAGACACATTACATTATTAAGGGCAGGCCTTGAAAAGGCAGAGAACAAAAGTGGAATTAATTAAAAGAAATGGATTAATATACAATAAAGGCACAAGGGAAATCAGAACAGATAGGTTGAACCAACAATATTTACAGCCTGATATATGTGTGTGAGTGAGGTTCAATCAAACTCTTAAAAAGAGGACATTGAAGCTACTAGAAGACCTACCCCTATGAAGCAAGAGACGAACGCGACCAGGGGTCAACACTCCCTGCTTCATTGGGAATCCTTGTTTGTCACAACCTCCAGTGATTTTGAACACATAGCCTTTAAATTCCTGTTGCAACAGAGTTAAAATGGTGAATGGATAATCAGTAAAAATTCTACAAAAATTTAGACAGACATTGAAGGATTGCAACTAAAAAGATCATACCTCACCAAGTGCATCTCCACTGACCTCCTGTGAGATCCTCTTGTCCCAAAATGCTCGCCTGCAATTAAAAGTTAAGAATATGGTAATAGGAAAACAAATCACATACCCCAAAAAAACACAAAATGGGCCTCTTCGTAGAAAAGCATAAGTATCCATGAATATGAATATCAAGATAATCTAAAGTTGATGTGCATGGTGCAAATGAGACTTCTATTGTTCTTTACAAACTACTTTATATAGTAACCATTCACTTTAGCCTCCCTTAAAACGTATGTCAAGCTCTACTACTATCGTCATCTTAACATATCATTGTTGATTACCCCAACTAACAATGCTAGAGCTACCTCGAGCAAATTAAAAAGAACACTATTAAATAACACCCAAAGGAATCAAAAGCACGAGAAATTTGAACACTGCTTCCAAGATTAGTTTAATATCTCTAAAAAATAAATGGGGATAAAAAAAATTCAATGGTGAATACATGTAATGTGACTCATCGTTTAAGAGCATCATAAATTCAATGAATCACCTCCCTATTAAAGCGCAAGGCGCAACACAAACAGAAGCACAAAAAAGTACAAACGGGAAATAATTAAAAAGACAAAAAGATTGAAGAGAATACAGTTTCTGATCGTCGTCAATCTCGAGCTTCTTCTGGCATCCAGTGGTGGGATTCGCAATGTTGAACTGCAGAGCAAAATAAAGCAAAACGAATTTAGCAATGAAAGCGACAACAACAAATGAAACGACACAAAACAAAATGGAAAATAAAACAGAAGAAACGACAGAAACAGGAAGAAGTAGGGTTCCGGAAGAAGAGAACCTTCATATTGCAATCTTCTTCTGCAACCGCCGCGTCGAACTCTCTCAGAGAGCGATCAGAAAACTCAGAACATGCGCACGGTAGACATGATGTAGGGTTTTAAGTTAAACTTTTATATAGCAACACGGGCTTTGACTTGGGCCATTAACTGGCTCTGGATTGTTTGGTATCCAGCCCAATATGGATTAAGAATTTGGGCTCAACCTCATATTACCACTCAATTTTAGCTATAATAGAACCGATGTGATTGGTTTGATATCAGATTTTTAAGAGTATGAATTGAATGACTTCAGACCCTATCTAAAATCTAAATAATATAACAAATTTTAAAACTTTTTTTTGTTATGCTTAAGTTAAACTAGGTGGGGAGTCTGATAACATTTTACAAATTAAAATAAAATGTTATTATTATATAATAAAATACTATTGAGGTCATTAATAAATATGTTATTTTAAAGATAAAAATTAAAAATATATATAAATATTTTTATGTTTTCATTTCAACCTTCCAGTTAAAAAGAAGGGACGATTCAAGAAATAAGCTAGTAGTCTACAAGGCCACTATTTCTAACCTAGAAGGGAATAATATTCTATGGCTTTTACCTTTCTTAAACCTTATCTTCCTAAAACTTATTTTTTTATCTAAAAATAAGTGAAAGCACTAACCTTAACAATAAGGTAAAACCTTTGAAAATTTTAGCATTGATATTTGATGGACTTTGAATCAACATTGTAATTTATAAAAAGAATTAATAAATAAAACTCACCCATTTAAAATAAATTAATTAATAATTTTTTTACTTCTAAATTTTAATTTTGTTTATCTATAGTTAATTATAAGTCTAACTAAAGGAAAAGAATCAGGTTATGCTTTCAATCGTCAATATAAAATTTGTCAAAATATTTTATATGAATTACTTATAATAATTAATTTTTAATTGAATATAATAACAATATCTTCAAAAAGCGCTTTTATTTACTTACTTGGACTTCATAAAAGTATTAAATGTTTTCACTAATGACATTGACTTCCAACTGATTTCAAGAGTTGTTCATGTTGTCAAAACACCTTTAGGTTGACTGATAAGTAAGGTCATGTTTTATATTGCACTTAACCTTACTTTTTATCGAATTTCTTTCAATTTTGACAAAAATACTTCAATAATATATACTGGTGGTCTCTTTATATTAAACTGCAATAAATAATAAATAAATCAATACAAAACCTTCATCAAATAATGATCAAACATATCAAAATAATCTATAAAAATAAGGCAAAATATATGCTTATCATATATTAAATTTTGAAAAGATTTTAGCATGATGTAACTTATTAGGAAAGTCTTTCTTATTAAGTGTAAGATACTTAATTCATTGTAAGGCTTGGTTTAAAGGTTTGTAATTGATAATTAGTTGAGAAGTTCATTTTTCTAGTTTAAATTGTTTGTTGACATAGAAAGTCAAGAAAGACTAATGACTCTTACTAGTTATTATAAGCAAAACTAATCGCCTTTACATTACTGGTGACAACACTCCAACATAATTGATTTATATTTCAAATTTTATCTATAACAAATATTTATTTAGTATAACCAAAAATAAAATAGAAATTAGTAAAATATGAAATGTTAAAAAAATATAAAATTTTACCGCGAAGCACATATCTAAGACAACTAACTACTTCCAGCAGCAAAATGAGATCAAAGAAGCAAAGAGAATTGAAGTTGGGTCAAAAATCAACAAAGAGTTCCATTTATATAAACTGGCATAGTAAATAAAATTTTAAAGATATATTTGTTTAACTATTGAGTTATTTAAAGATTTATTTAGATTTTTTGTTGAAGTGAAGAGAGAAGGGTAAGAAAGATGTTAGTAACCACTTACCCTTATTTAAAAGTTAATTCAATATAAAAGTAATAGTTAGAGAGGATTTTAAAATCGTCAAAATTTTTCTCATCTCATTTTTTTTAATCCCCATATCGTGGAGTTTTAATAACTTACGTAGTAAAGTTTATGATTTGTAGTTATTTTTGTTAGATTAAATATTTAATATAGTTTAAAGTTAGAAGAGTAAGAAAATAAAAATTAAAAATATTTTTTTTAAAATTATTAGTTTTTAGAGTAAAAATTTTATAAATAATTATAAAAAATAGAAATAAAAATTTAAAATTCTTAATTTTTAGAAAGGAAAAAATATTTTATTTTTTAAAAATACAAAACATATAAATAAAAATTATAAAAGATAAAAATATCATTAACATATTACACCCTTTATTCATCTTCTCTTTTAATATTAAACATCCACATAAAAAAAATAATTAATCCTTTTTCTCCTCCCTTCTCCTTTCATCCTAAGTTCTTTAAACTCTTTATGTAACATTCTTAAGAAAAAAAATATTCCTTTTAATTCAAAAAAACATTCCTTTTAACTTAAACGAAATTTTTTTCGTTCAAGCGAGAATATATCAAATTTTCTTATCTGTACTCTCACTCATATTTTTGCTCAAGCAAAATATTCTTACTCGAGCAAAAATATCAATAAAAAAGTAGTAATTTTTGTTTAGTTTTCTCGTTCAAATGAGAATGCCCTGAATGCCCTAACTCAAGCTAAAATTTGTGAATTTTGAAGGGTATTTAAGAGATTTTCACTCTAAAACTTGTATTGTAATCCAAGAAACATGTCACTCACTTCTTTCTTTGTTCTTCCACTTCCTTTCTTAGAGAAATCTCTTTCAAACTCCAAACTACTTTTAAATTCGAGCTCAAATTTCCTTTTCTTTCAATCCTGAGTAAGTTCCTTAGAACTCAATCCTTCAATCTCATTTCTATATTTCTTTAGTTTCTCTTTTCTCAAAAGTGTTCCACCTTGAGATATATAGGAAGAACTTGGTCTTTAGACGATCTCTTCTGCAAAACCCTTACAAAATCATCTCATTGAGGTAAGGAGAATTTTATCCCATCATTAGAACATACCTTTACAAAAAGTTGATGATGCATGTTTCTTTGACCTTGAGTGATTAAGTTAATGTATACTTGATTGTTCTTTATATGATATGAAATATAATTTGTTGTAATATACAATTTGGGCTAAGTCCGAAAGTGTCCTGTAACACCCTAATTTTTGTAATAATATTTTGATTATTAATATAAATATGTGGATTATTATTTGAATGTGCGTTCGACTTGTGTGGTGATGTGTATATGTATGTAAATACATGTGAATGTATATATATATATATATATATATATATATATATATATATATATATATGAATGACTATATATATATATATTATGATGATTTCTACTCTGAGGATTGGAAACCTCAAAGAGAGTGGTTCTTTAAAAAATATAGGGGAAAAGATAGGTCTGAAATTCAAGAGAAATTCTACCAATTTATCGAAAAGGTTAAACAAAATATTTCATTTTTTGATTGGTATCATGCTTATACCATTCATAATAATATTGATTATCCCTGGCAAGAGGATGTTATTAGTACCTCCTCTGCTAATGTTATATCCTGGCAGATCAAAGATGGACAAATAGTCCAAAGTGATCTACCACCCACATCTCAATACCAATTACCCAATTTGAAAGACAAAGGCGGTAACCCTGTTACTCCTACTCCTTTTAAGTCTAAGAACCCTGAAGAGTCTATCACTCCTCATGACATCCAAGGCCTTATGGAACAGGCCAATTATACCAATAAATACCTTCAAGTTTTAGGAGAAAAAATCTTTGTTAATCCTATCAAACCTAAAATTGAAGAAGTAGCTTCTTCATCCTCTCAACCTCAATTAGAAAAACCTCTATTTAAACCTTTTAAGATTAGTGCCAAAGCTAAGCAGAAAATCTTAGAACTTAGGCAAAAAGAAAAAACCAAAGTAAACGAGGAAAACCAGAATGAGTTGCTTAGTAAAATTACTAGCCTCCTTACTACTATTCCCGACACTCCTCAACCCTCAGAAGAATCTAGTGCTAAACCCAGGACTAGATCTCTTGCCAAAACTGTCAATGTCATTTCCAAAACTGATTCAGAACATTGTTCTGAAACAGATTCTGTTTTAGCTATCAATCCAATTAACAATTGGAAAAATTCTTCCAAGCTTTATTATAATAGAGCTACTGCTTCTGACCTTATTTTAGAAGATAAGCAAGATTTTATTCAAAGCTTCAATTCTAATGATATTTATATTTGGAATATCGATGGATTATCTGAATATAATATCATTGCCAAACTGCAAAATATGTCGGTTGTCGCCATGGGCTATTTATTCTCGTCGCCGGTTTTACTGGCCAACTCAAAGGTTGGTGGGATAATTATCTCACTGAAGCTGACAGAGATAACATTCTCTCTGCAGTAAAAATTGATGATAAGGGGAAAACTATTGTCAGTGACAATGAACGTCTCTCTGATGCTGTGTATACGTTGTTATACACAATATCCCAACATTTCCTAGGTGATCCTTCTCTTTGGAGAGAAAGATCAGGAGAGCTTCTTTCAAACCTCACTAGATCTGTTCGGACTACCGTCGTCCGGCTTTCTTCTCTTCTCCCCTCACTAGATCTGTGTTGGTTCTACCACCGTTCTAGTTTCTTATGTTTTAAATTTTGTTATTTACATACTGCACTTTTAATTTCTGCATCTCATTTAGCAGTCCTGCTACTGCCTACTTTCCTTTCAGTCTTTTAATTCTTATTTTTTGTTTACTTGATCCTCTTCGGGTATATCTGGTATATATATATTATGATTGAAAGATAAATGTAGACTTGTGTTGGATTGGAAATATAAGTTGAGTGTGTACTGCAGGGACATTCTCTCTGTAGCGAGAAGATCTTGGACATAGGGTATGATTCTATTGCATTCTTGCTGTACCGAGAGTTCTCTTGCTATAATGACAAGGCAACAAAGAAAAGATATTTTATGGGTGCAGTTTCGCTGCAGCGAGATTCTGCAGAATTAGAGTGCTAAATAGTCTAAGAATTTTGCTGCAGTGAGAAAGGGCCTCAGTGCAGCAAAAATGTCTCACTGTAGTGAGAGTGTCGCGACTCATAGGGTATTTGAAGGGTTTAGGATTTAGA